ATACATACATACATACATACATACATACATACATACATACATACATACATACATACATACATACATACATACATACATACATACATACATACATACATACATACATACATACATACATACATACATACATACATACATACATACATACATACATACATACATACATACATACATACATACATACATACATACATACATACATACATACATGCATGCATACATGCGTGCATGCGTACATGCGTACATGCATACATACGTAGGCCTACATGCGTACATGCGTACATGCGTACTTGCGTATATGCGTACATGCGTACATACGTACATACGTAGAAGGTTTTCCATTAAAGAATTGTTTGTCCATTACGGCACTTCGATCGCCACGCCATCATATGTCAGAAACCAGAAACCTATAGAACGCATGGCTATGCAGGCATCAATCTTGCGAGGCATGTACAGTTTTTAAATATCGGACGAATGCATCAATGATATCACATTTCTTATTCCTTCCCCCCTCCTTTATTTATTATTATTAATTATTATTTTAATTTATTTTATTTTTTTATTTAATAATTAAATTTAATTATTATTTAGGCGAACGTGGCAAATATATCGTATACAATGCATTTCATTTTATATGCAGCTAATATTGAAAGGTTGTAATACGATTTTAGCTGTAAATACTTAATATTGCTCATGGATTTGATTATTACTGACATGTTCAATCAGTCCCATTAGCAAATAAATTCATACGCCTATTCATGTCCTCAAATAAATACTCAGATTTGTAACTCAATTACCGATTCTGTTCTCATTTTAATAATATCGGAATTTTCGGCGTTTGCGATAGTTACGAATTTCCCAATTCTCTTTTTCTATTGCAATTGACAGATCCAAGTTATGCAGTTAAAAAATCATGTACTAAATAATTCATCTCCAAATAAAACACCGAAAAGCCCAGTGTTATCATATCATTAATAATGTCATATTCTAACATCGCCTTTCTGCTCATCCACTGTAATTATCTCGATGCTGCATGGGGGATGTCAAAGCTTCTGCGAAACCGCTAGTACGTAATTCGCATCCCCATGTGACAGCCAGGACCTGTCGACAGACGCTACTGGACTCGCGCTAAAACTGCCGATTAGCGCGTCTGTTTTACTTGCTACCGTATAGTCAGTTTGTAGCTGTACTACCCGCGTGAATACACAGATGACAGATGGAGTGGTGCGTTGAAGCAGACGACAGGCTAACTCACGTGCACGCAATTTACTCTGCGCGCCGCAAGGCATATCACGACAAAACATCGCATCCGTGCAAAGAGCACTAGGGAGGGCGTTGTCGGGAGGATGATTGCATCATCCAAAACATGTTCCGACTGCTTATTTTTTTATCTTTTGTTAGAAAATATTCCATAACGTTGGGATCGTTTTGTCAACGCTACCTAGAATGTGAGATAGACGGTTAATCCAATATCGTTTGCGCCACTCAAAATTCGAGCTTATCTAAATCGTTTACGCTGGCAATTCGTATAGATACAACAACAAGAGGATGTCTACATCTATCACCGTGAAGAACGCGTAAATTTGCACACTTGCCATTCGGTCGTTCTGTATTCTGTGTGCGATGCGTTATTAGGATCAAATAAAATCGCAAGCGCGCATGCAAACACCATCCAGTTTGATTACGACAAGTGATGTGTGTTGAGACGAAAGCGGGTGTGTTGAGGTTCAGCTCGACAGCGCGCGGCACTTTCTCTGATTCGTTCTCGAATCAATTAGCCGTAGGCACGCGTGCCGTATCTCTTTCTCTGTTCCTATCCTATTTCATCTTTGGAAGACACGGTAAATCTCATTTGAGCAGCTCGTTTCGCGTCAGCTTGCTACACGGCGAAGGTTACCGCTCTCTTCAACGACGCTCCGTGTCGTTTTTGATCCGGGTCAGTCTCGGATCGTTTTCGACCCGGCGTTTTCGCTCCGTGTGAACGCAGCTATCGAGCTGCACGCGTTCTGTTTACTCAGATTTCGTTGAAATCGTAGCGTTTCGACGCTACCCTACGTGCTCCTAACATCCACGTCGACGCGGGACTTCGGGACGACCGTCTTCTCACACTCTTACACCTTGTAACTGCTGCGTCGCTTTTTCAGTGTTACGAAGATTATGGCTGAATATCAACGACAACTATTACGGTTATATTACGGTCAATCGACAATAAGAGATGGCTATAGGGTGACACTTAGAAATTTGCTCTCGCCCTGTAGCGCTCAGTCCCCGGTTTCGTGCAGACATTCTTACGCATAATTTAACACACATAGGCACATACACGATCACGCACGCACGCACGCGCACACACACGCGCATATTGGTTTCGAATAACGTAGTTTTGTGTAACAGTAAAATTCCGGTTTCAGATATGTGCATGTGGCTCGATATGAGGAAATAAAACGTACTGGCGGAATTTAAATTGCGTTTCAAAAAGGTAACAAACCAGTACATTATAACCGTGAATACATTGAATATATCATCAGCCTATGTATACTTCATATGAACTGCTATATGGCTGCTAGCTGCTACTGGTCTCATACATGCTTCCCTGGGTTTCCTGTTCCGATTATTGATAAATTTCTATTGCTTGTTTAATTTCCTGTTTTGTAATATCAGCGTATATTTTGAACCCACTCGCCGCCCCATTAGTCCGTCAAGTCAGAATTCGCGAAAATATCTGTACGCGAAAAATATGGCGTATACAGTAATTGCTTCAGTTTCCCTAGCTGACTGTTGTCTGGGAGCACATGTATTTAGCTGTTTATACATATGTTATGCGTGGTGGCAGCACTATTTGTTAATAAGTGCTGTGATGTACAAACGTGAGTATAGTATAAGGTTTCCCTCCTGTTGCTAGTCCTCCTATATGGCAAACGTGGGCAGTGAATGACCTTTACAAATGTCAGACCGGCGTGAAACTTCAAAGCGCGCGCTTGTCTGTGTTTGTTTTTATACCTGTGTGTGTGTGTGTGTGTGTGTGTGTTTATGCGCGCGCGCGTGTGTGTGTTCGTGTTTGTGTTGTCTTTTCTTTCACCATGTTACGCCGCCAGTTACCAATCCGTCCTTGCTTTGCGATGACAGTCAACAAGTCACAAGGACAGTCCCTTCACCGTATCGGCGTCTACACGGTCAAAGACTTCTTCAGTCACGGCCAGTTCTACGGCACTG